CTCCCCCTCTCCGCGGTTCCCCCTCCCCTCATTGCCCCATGGGTTAGAACTCTCTTAGCTTACCTACTACCGCGTCTCGTTAAATTAAGTGGCGTTTCTCATTGTAATTAGTGTGAAACTTGTGCCCGCTATCGCGTCCCCGAGTGACTGTAAGTAAGCCTGAGCATCTCGCAAACCATTGTGTTCGCGGTCGCTCATCTGTCCCGCGAGCAAGATATCCGTCGCTCGCGTTCAAGATCTCCGATCGCGAGGGCGGTATTCAATCGCTCTTCAAGATCTCCGTTTTGCGAGCCATCGCAGAGAGTACGAGTAACGTAAGATTTCCGTCCCGACATTACCGCAGATGCTCACCCCGTTCGGTCGTGCGAGTGCGAGAAAACTCTATAAAAATACCGGATTGAAATAAATTGTGCTTGTGAATCAAACTCGAAGCGCGTGTGTCGTCTTAGATCCACTCCTCGCTAACTCCTCTCGAACCTTGCCCCGCGCCCTTGTCAGGGTGGTCCCGGCATTCAATTCGTGTCCCGAGGTCACCTCAGCCGAGCACGAAACAATTAGTAAGTTTATTATCTGCTAATACCGTAGGTACTTTATATATATGTACAATATATATGTGTTAAGTTTCTACGTTAATTTTTATTTTAAAATTATTATTTTTGGTGCATTTTTTTCAACTTCTTCGTAGACTTTAATATGTTACCGCTGGCTTATTATCTTCCTTAATTTCAACCTCGCATTTTTCAAAATTATTCTTCCGATTATTTTCTGCGACTATTTTTTTTCCTCGATTTCATTTTCATATTTAATAATGACATTAAGCAATAATTCGTTCATTCCATCTTTTAGAACTATAATTATGAAATAATACATACTTGAATAAAGTAAATCAACATGGAATATACATGTATTGTATTGTATTGTATTCTATTTATTGTCTTTCCCCGTAGGGTTTACAAGACGTTTTTTTTTATAAGGAACGTACCTAAACCTCTTACAATTACCTAACATTCAAAAATGACATATAAAACAAAACCAGCTCCCCGTGGGCATCTTCCTCTTCTTCTTCCTCCGCTTCTGCACCGGCCCCGCCCTTGATCCTCCGTCCCTCCCATCTCGTCTCCTTCTTATTTGGCCCAGTCCCTCTTTCCTCCATCCTCCTTATCCTCGTCCGACTCCACGAGAAGTTTCTCTTCCATATCTTTTGATATCTCCTCATCCTCCGATCTCCCTGTACTCCTGCGTATCCTCCCTTCCATTTCCTCCTCTCTTTCCTCTCTCTCTCTCTATCTCTCCTTTCCACAGACCTGTCCTCATGGATCTTCATCCCTATGCTGTTCCCTGCCTTTCTCCTCGCCTCCAACACCTGCCACTTCTCCTTTTCGTCTCCCAGCTTCACCAATATGGTCATCCATAGAGAATATACATGTATATGGACTAATTTGGAATATTTACTTAATGTGTCTACTTACGATTTCGAAATTGTTGTATTTC